ATCCCTATGGAGAGATACCTTGCTCAGTCTCCATATGGGGCTGGGGGAGGCTTGGTCCTGACTCAACTTAATATGCCAGGCTTTATTGACTTTGCATGGGAGAATTTACCCTCTCTGAGGAGTGGATGGGGAGTGAGATGGGAGAAAGGTGAGGGGTGAGTGGGAGGAGGCAGGGAGGGAGAAATGTGGTTGGTATGTAAAATGAAAAAAAATTTTAAGTAAAAAATAGTTAAATAATATTAATTGTTATATTGCATTCCCAATTGATGTTTGCTGTGTTTTTGTCTTGGCAAGCAGAAGGATGAATGTTATACTGTGCAAGAGTTTTTCTGCTTCTATTAAAATGGGTGACAAGAAGGACAAGGATGCATAGACACATGTGGTTACCACAGGTCAACTTTTTTTACAGCTGACGAAAAGTTTCTGCATCCCGATAAGCCTCTCCCCCAACACAGCAATACAAATCAGACCAAATCAGACTGAATTAGAAAAAGTCCTGGTTTAAAGAGTAAAGTGCTCCCAGGTGATTCTCTGCCCCTCTCCTGCCCCCTCAGAGAGGAGATGGGAAAGAGACTGAAAAACCACATATCTGTTTTCTGGGGAGCAGTTTAAATACCCTGTGGGAGTGGTCTTGAGCCTCTTTGTGGGAGGAGCCATGTTTAGTGGGACTTTCCTAGGGGCAGGGTCTGGGCAGAGAGATGGGGCTTCCATCAGAACGTTCCAGACTTTTTGGGTATGTGCATGTAAGTGCGCCAGGGACTGAGGTGGAGCTTCCACCAGAACATTCCAGACTCTTTGGGTATGTGGATGTCAGGGTACCAAAGGCTGAGGTGGAGCTCCCACCCAAACAGTTGTTCCATCTTTTCTTTAATTTCTTTAAGATAGGACTGCTCATTGAACCTGGAGTTTATTGATTCAGTCAGAATGGCTGGCCTTCAAGTCCCTAGGATCCTTCTGTATTCCCCTTCCTGATCCCTGGTATTAAGGAACACATCACCACATCTGGCTTTTTCTATTGGTGCTGGGGATCTGAATTTTGGTTTCTATGCAAGCAGTTTACTGACTGAGTCATGTCCCCGGCCTGCCTACCTTAGCCAAAACAGCATTCTTCACATTCCAAAGATGAATGAAACCTGAGAATAGTTCTTGGAATTATCTTTGGTCGGCTTGTGTAGTAGAAATGAAAGTCAGGACCTTTGGGGCAGGATAATCATTGTCTAGCAACTGCCTTAGTCGCAGATGTAGTTGCTCAAGTACTCAGGCTTCCTTCTTTTGGCTCCAAGCATACCTGGGAAAGCATAAGAAATCAGTTTCCAAGCTGGACTTCCAAGGGCTCTCTGCATTCCCCATGCACAGCTCAACTTCTGATCTGGGCTCAGTCCCTGCTTCCTTTCCTTGTCTCATTCATGGTACTCTGCCTTGGCCTATCAACGTCACTAAAGGGAGGTCTGCTTTGTTTCTGATAATCTCTCTTTGTACATTCCTGGTGAAGGATATCTCTCATCCTCTCCCAACCTGAAGTGCCTTATGTAATTCCCTCACAAGCAGCCTTAGACCAGGGGCTAGAACTGGCATCTATATCTAAAAAGAAGTTGATAAAGTGCGTTCTACCTCTTGCCACACAAGGTGGATGAAGGAAAAATGAATACCTGATGAATGGATGGTAGATGGCAGCCACAATACTAAAATGGATCACCCATACATAAACTTTAGGACTGCCTGAATAGATATAAGCTCTGGCCATCTTCTGATACCAGGTAAGGAACTAGAAGTTCCTGGTTAGAAGTAGGAAAGTTGTATTCTCCTAAATTCATACTGAATGGGTTTCATTGGATTCCACCTTCAGAAGTTCGGTTTGGTAACTCCCTTTGAGTCTTCTGTCACTAACTGAATGTAAGCCAGCACTGTCTTTCCTAGCCTCCTTGTACAACGTCCCTGGAGTTCCCTTTCTCCCTCATGTTCTCAGTCTGCTTTCACTGGGCTGCAGTTGAATTATCTAGTTGTTATTTTTAGAATATGAATTACTGTACTCTCTTGCCCAAAAGCCTCCAATGAATTTTTGTCATATATGGGAGAAGACACAGCTTATAGTCCAATAATCATATAATTAATCATCCAAACAAGAACAACTCAGAGAACAAAAGAGAAAGTTACTAACAATATTGCTAAGACAAGACAAGCTGAGGTTAACTTGGTGCTTTAGTCAACTGCCGCAAAATACCTAAGACAATTAATTTGTAAAGAGTCAAAGTTTGTCTTGGCTCAGTGTTTCAGACCATGCTCAGTTGATCTTATTGCCTTTGGTTCTGCTGTGAGGCAGCAATTCATGGTAGCGGCATGTGAGGGACAAAGATCCTCAACTTATAGAAGGGAAATGACAACAAGGAGATACTAGGGTCTCATAAGTCCTTTTGAAGTCACTTTCCCACTAGACTACATAGTTAAAAGAAGCTACCACTTCTAAACCGCTGCATGGAGAAAGGATCAAGTTTTCATTTTCGACCTGTCAGAGGACATATAAGATCCAAGCTGCAACACTTGGGGTTCCCAGAGCAGACCAGCACATTTGTTTGTGTCAACTGAAGGCTCATCGAACTCCAAACCTACAGGTCTTTTGGGTATCTTTTCTGAACCCTGGAAATTTGAAACTGTTCCTCATTGGGGACTGAAAAGTGGTTGGAATAGCATCTCCACAAAGCTCCACTCTCACTATATCACTTCATTTACTTCTTATTATGTTGCTTCTTCATGCTCTTACCCCCCTGCACTATCTGACACCCATGAACTGGCTTCTGCAGCTTCCCTGGGTCCAACTATAGTTATTTTAATTTCCTACCAGGACCTGTAAGTTCCCTCTGTCATTGACTCTATATAATCCACACGACTCGTCATTTATTCTATATAATCCACACGACTCAATGACTTAATTTTTCTGAGTGGAAGACTAAGCTTCATACCTTGAAATCATATTATAATTTCCTCACACATGTTCTCTCCTTTTACATGGTGTTTGTGAGTTGTCTTTCTCCTGAGAGCACCAGCGTGGCTGAAACTTTCCCAATGATAGGCAATTTTTATTGTGATCATCTATGATACCATAGTGAGATAGTTTATAGTGATTGCCAATCTGACGGGGTCCAGAGTCACCTTGGAGACAAATCTCTAGGCAATGCCTATGGGGGAGATTTTGATTAGGTTCTTTGAAGTAGGAAGTTCCATTCTATGGGCTGTGGACTGAATGCAAAGGAGAGAGAAAGAGAAAGGAGGAAGGGAGCACTGTGTGAGAAGCAGTGTTCACCACTGTTTTCTGAGTGTGGACACAGTGTGACCGGTCACTTCCTGTTCCTGCTGTCCTGCCTTTCCCATCTCCTGTCACGTCACTGCCTCTAGAATGGAATGATCCCCTCAAACTATAAACCCTTACACTCTGAAGTTGCTTCTTTTTTTTCTAGTTTCTGTAAACAATACAGAAACTAGAAAAGTAAACGATAGACATGGTTTGATCTCTGATCTCCTAGAAAATCTGTCTTCACATTATATTTCATCATATGATTCAAAGTTCAACCTCCTTTACACCTGGAATATTTACCTAACAAGGTTGCCATAACAATGGATTAAAATAGTATTTATGAATTGTTTGACATAACGGAAAGTCCATTCATTGCACATGCCAAAGAGCATCAGCTATTCTATTTATCAATAATATCATTTTATTAAGTATCTGTTGAACAGATAAATAGAAAAGATTAGTTACATGTTGGTTAAGTCTCAGCTGGCACATTTGAATTTTACACACAACAGAAAATTGACAGACTGTAATATAGTTTTGTATAAAGGCTCTGTGGTTTGAAGACAGTAAGGGAAATGTCATCCTGAGGTTCATCTATGGGCTAGTGGTTTAGAGACATGCTGAAGAAGAATCATCTATGGGTAGCCTAACATGTTATGTTTCCCACATCTTTCTTCAGGAAAACAATACTAATTTTAATTCACATCACTCAGTATTCTTCACTTAGTAAATCCTACTATTTTTTTTAACTGAAGTTATTCATTTATTTTGCATCCCGACTTGCAGTCTCTCCTCCCTCCTCTCCCCTCATTCCCTCCCCTCATCTCCCCTCTGTTCTTCTCCAATCTACTCCTCTTCTGTTTCTGTTCAGAAAGGGGCAGGCCTCCCATGATTGTCAACAAAGCATGGCATATCAAATTGAGGTAGAACTAAGCTCCTCCGCTTGTATTAAGGCAGGGCAAGGAAACCCAGTATAAGGATTAGGTTTCCAAAAGTCAGCCAAAGAGTTAGGGACAGGTCCTGCTCCCACTGCTAGGAGTCCCACAAGTAGACCAGACGACACAAGTGTCATGCATATATAGAGGACCTAGGTCAGTCCCATGCAGGCTTCTTAGCTGTCAGCCCAGATTCTGTGAGCTCCTATGAGCCCAGGTTAGTTGTTTCTGTAAAACTCATTATTCTTGATGCTCACACAGAATAATTATATCCAGTTAAGTAGGGAGACAAGGTAATACATATCCATTTTTTTTTTTTGTTCTTCAGACAAGGCCACTTTTCTGAATTTCCCTATACCCTGCATAGATATTATTAACCCTCCCTAAATGTGACTGAAATTGTTAGAACTGAAAAATTACAATCATTATTTTATGTTCAGTGACCCAGTAGCAGTAACTTTACTGAAATGGATAGGAATATAGATGGATGGATGGGTACATAGAAGAGTAGATGTGACTATAGATGGATGTATGGAAGGAGTGGATGGGTGTACGGGTACATGAATGGGTAGGTTTGTCTGTAAATGAAAATATGGGTAGGAAGGTGGATGGGCAGGATAAGAACATGCATATGGGTATGTATGTATGGGAGGACTGCTGTGTGAGGGAGGGTGCAAGTGAAAAGGAGCTGTATCCTGTCTTACTGATTTTCATGGGAATAACATTTTTTTTTTTTTTTTTTTTTTTTTTTTTTTTTTTTTTTTTTTTTTCACGAGTCAAAATAAATCTTTAAGTTGATTTTCTCAGGCATTTGTCACAGCAATGAAGAAACCACCACCAAAAGGGATGAGAACTTGGAACTCATTTTGACAAAGGGGTTGTTGGTGTCACAAACCCAAACAAATAGCAATGTTACCAGCTATAAGCAGTCATTGACCAATTCCAGGCTTTACATCCTGCCCTTGCCCAGGACTCCAGGGAACTTGTTTCCTCATGCCTTGAAGCTTCATCTGGAAAGAACATTCTTTTGTTTCACATGGTGTCACTGGGCTTTATGGACTTACACAATCTTAGGCTGCATCCCAAGGCAAACATTTCTTACCTGGCTAGAGAAAATTGTTCGAAGAGGCATTTGTTGGGGGAGGGTAGGGTTCTTTGTGTGCACATGTGCCATGGATGGTACATGTGTGGGTTCAAAGGATCAAATTCAGGTTGTCAGCTGGTGCCTTTACCTGCTGAACCATTTTGTTGGGCCCTAAGAGGCATCTTGTAAAAGGGCATATGGATGGCCAGGCTGATGAGTGCCTACTTTTGTGTTTTACCTTTTGAAGGGAGTCACTTCCACAGATCTTGGTCCTTTAGAGAAGGGAGCCATTCCACCCTTCCATACTGCAACTACGTCTCAAGCAAGAGAAAGCAGTAGAGATTAACAGGCAGATAAGAAACAAGAGACCTAACTGACCAAATATGTTGCCTGAAGAGCCAAGAAAGAAAAGCTCAGGCCCAACACCAAGGGAGAGCAGAGTGGCAGAAACAGAACACGAAACACCTCGTCTGTCTTGCATAGGGCTGTGGTATTGGTTCCTTGACTCCTAGGACTTTGAGCTGGGGAATACAAGGATGGATGATGGAAGAGCTGTTAGGGATCTTCGTTTAGAGACAAGGCAACCTAGGTGAGTACCTAGTAACAATGCAACAACAGCAGTAGGTCTGGCTTCCAAACCATCTGAGCTGTCTTTTCCTCAGGGTTGAATGTGTTTACCCAGCCACCTTATAGGGCCTGCTTAGCAAGTTTCCTGAAATGGAGACACTAGGAGCCCTGATCTCTCCTGTTCCGTTGGCCCTGTGAGGGCAAGGGGAGGACCTACTGTTACCTCAGTGACAACAGCGGTGGTGGTAGTGGCTGCCATTGCAGCTGCTCTAGCACGTCTGTGGGACCGCTGGTGCTGTGACAGTGATCGGCCATGGCTAAAGAATTTGCCACACTCCGTGCATTCTGCTGTCCGCTCACCTAGGTGTGTTTTTCTGTGCAGTGCAAGCTTGGAAGCAACACTGAAGGACTTGCCACACTCTGGGCACTTGTGTGGTTTATGGCCGGCATGATTGCGCAGATGCACATTGAGGTTGGAGATGCAGGTGAATCGCTTGCCACACAGCTCACAGTGGTAAGGCTTTTCCCCAGTGTGTGTGCGCAGGTGTTTGGTGAGGTCTGAGCGGTCTGTGAAGCCCCGGCCGCACTCTGGGCACGGGAAAGGCCTCTCCCCCGTGTGGCTGCGCTGGTGCACCACAAGGTCATATCGCTGTCCAAAGCCCTTGCCACAAGTAGGGCACACGTGGGGCCTTTCACCCTGGTGGCTGCGCTGGTGGCGCAGCAGTGTGGAACTCTCGCTAAAGCAGCGCCCGCAGTCGCTACATGCGTATGGCTTTTCTCCAGTGTGTGTTCGCTGGTGCCGCACCAGCGTGGCACTCTCCAAGAAGCCCTTGCCACATTCAGGGCACTTGTAGGGCTTCTCCCCTGAGTGCCTCTGGAGGTGTCGTGTGAGTGTGGAACTCTTGCTGAAGCTCTTACCACACACACCACACTGGTGGGCCTCAGCGCCAGGGTCGCTGAGGCTGAGGACGACGTGGATGCGGGAATGGTTCCGCAGCCCAGCACTGCTATGAAAGGCCCGTGGGCACTGTGTACAGTGGTGCAGCGGGCTGGGGGAAGGAGTGGTGGCAGTGGTGGTCTCTGGGGGGTGCACCCGTGCCAGGTGAAAAGGAAGAGCACTCTGCCGAAAGGAGCGGGAACACAGTGGGCAGCGGTGGGGCTTCTCAGGTGGGTGCTGTCGGACCCGATGCAGCAGTAGTGCAGGGATGTGAGGGAAGCGACGGCCACAGAGGCGGCAAGGGCAGGTGTGGCTACGCCTTCGGTGTGTCCCCAAGTGTAGGTCCAGCAGGCTGTTGTGACTGAAGCTCTGGCCACACTCACTGCAGACGTAGAGGGTCTGGCCAGCATGGGTCCGCCTGTGTGCACGCAAGTCTGAGGCTCGAGCACAGCGTTCACCACACTCGAGACAGCGGAAACGTTTGTCACCACCATGGGCACGTTCGTGCCGCAGCAGCACTGCACTGTACCGAAAGCTTTTGCCACACTCACTGCAGGAATAAGGCCTTCCGCCAACCGCCGCCACGCCAGGCGCTGTGAACATGATGTCCGCCTTTCCCAGTCAGTAATTTCTAGTTTTAAGGTCCGGAAAGTACCAGAGGGGGAAAGGCTGTGGCCTTGAAAACTGATCTGCAGATTCCTGGGTTTCTTCTTTCAAGAGCAGATGTCCCTGCCATTCCAATGGCAGGCAGCAGCTGGACTCATCATTGTGATCCCTGCAGGGAGGTCACCCTGAGTTCAGCACTGGCTGCAACAACTCTGGCTCATCCCATTATATGAGCAAAGAGGTCTGTTCCTGGGGTAGAAACCAGTCGCCGGAGGGCCGCTCCGAGCCGCGTTCACTTCAACGCGCTGCGGACCGGGAATAACATTTTAACCATAGTTTCATCACCATTTTCTTCATTTGGAGGCTAATTTTTACATCCTCACCAAAAACCTTGAAAAGTGGACAAGAGCTAGAAAGTGACCATGCCTTGAAAAGTCAATAGTGATGTTGAGAAGTATCTAGGTTCTCTATTGTTAAGTTCCAGAACTTTGAAAGGAGAGATGGGGTATCTTTATACATCCTGGTGTGCACAAGAGTTATTTTCCAGACTTGGTGGTGCAAACTACTGTTTTGGCAGTCATGACGTTTGAGAACTTCCTTATCTGCTCTTCATATGCTCTACTCTGGCAGGTGGCTGTTAAGTTGGTAATGGCAAGGTAAGTAGTTTATTGCAAGTGGCAGTTAGCAAGCAGTCAGGTAGCTTGAAGCTTATCCTTGCAAGGGAACATGAGTAGTGACCCCATGGATGTCCTAAAGGATTTCAAAGGAGCCATTTCAGGGATCAGTGGCAGCTCCATTACTGTTTTCATGGTTAATCAATGGAGCACACACTGTGACCATCCACGGTTCCCAGGCACATGCCTGCATCCCTCAACTGCAGGTTGCAAAAAGGGTACACTTGGGAGGAAAGATGGGTCTGAAAACTAACTGAGCAAAGAGGCAGCAGTGCTTAGTAAATTCTCTCCTGCCACGGAGAGGAAGCCATAGCTCAGCATGTTTTACTCCAGTACCCAGGCAAGATTAACACAGAATTGATGATATGCTTGGTAACCACTACTACTTGTCTTGGTGTGGCTGAACAGTGCATATGTCATATTCAGAAACAAAAAGCCTTGTTTTACAGAATAAAAAGTCAATGAAACCAAAGCTAAGGCACATTTCAAATGTTACAGAGAGTGTAATTTTTAGAAGTTCTCTTTGTCTTGTATTCACTTGGAAAGTAAGTCCCAGTGTGAATTACACTAAAGAAAAATAAAAGACACCATTTTAACAAATATAAATGCACAGATTTTTAGATTCTATCTCTTTTTTGTCCATTCCTGTTACTATATAATTTACTGTGATAATTAATATCCAATTTTCTATTACATAGAGAATGCCAAATTACTATTGGATAATGAGATTTGCTATAGAATTTGTTTTAGAAATTCTTAACTCTGTTCTTCATAATCTAACACAAAATAATACTACATGATATTTTCTACTAATTTCTGTCTAGTATTTGTGCATATTTTCTGAAGTGATTTAAGCTTTACTTCCATATTTTTATTCTTGATTTCTCTTATACTGAAATTAAACTCTTGTATAGTATTTGGGTAAGAAGTTAGGACAAACCTATTTCTGAGACCCTCATAGGGAGAGTTTAAATTTGTTTTGATAATGTCATAATTTATTTAAATTGTTTTTTTAGATTTGTCTATTTAGGTAAATAAGACAATATTTAAAATATTTAGACCTTAACTGCATACCTAGTATGTATAGATATCATGAATTATCCTATAAATTTCTAGAAGAGCTGGATGAGGTGCCATTTCTGTGATACATATGCTCAGGTTATGTCCATTTAATGGAGTAATAGTAGTAGCTTCACCTCTGGGGACTGTGAACTCCCCATCTATGGATTCTGGACATATTTACAGTATCAGACAAGTGTTTCCTCCTGTGGAGTGAGCCTTCCAGTCAATCAACTGGAGCTCACAGTGTTCACAGCTGGAATAAGTCTATTGTTCTGTCTACATCCCCACCCCAGCATCCTGTATAATAGATTATGGTATTATGAAAACTAGAAGCTGGACTTCATGGCTTTTTCTGTAAGAGCCATTTTTCATGTGTCTAGAAGTAAAATTTGTTTTAAAACATACATTATACACATGTTCTATATAATCATGGCTACTAAGACTTTTTTGGAATGCATGAAACATGGAGACACTGAAAAGCTTATTATTCTACCAGTAAGACAAGGGCTATCAATAAAATGCATATATTCACATATTCTCCATTCAAAGATATTATGAATTATTTGAAAGTGATATGTTTGCCTTGAATCCTCAGGGACTTCACATCTCACTAGATTAGTTGGTCATTCTCACAAGTGTCCTGTGATTTCCTGACACAGTGCTCTACTGGACAAAGTGTGTGGTACTGATTGTTTCTTTCTTGCATTTCTGTCATTTTTCACCTGCAGAAACCATCATCCCCATAAGGAGGAAGATGTGATGAGAATCACATCCCATTTTTGAGATTCAATTAGAAGGCATGGGCCTCAGCCTACATCTCTCTGGGTATCACTATCTCCTCACCTGATTGTTCTACAAGAAGGCTGGGACATATTACTGAATATGTGGCTACTTTGTGAGCACTGGCAATTGCCACATTCTAAAAATGGTTAATATTGATAAATGGGGTCTAATGATCTCTGCGGCTTTGCTGAAAACACACACACACACACACACACACACACACACACACACACACACACACACACACACACACAGACATCAGCCCATTGGAAAATGGCACAACACTCCATAGTACTACCTTTTCTTATTTTATTTACACCACTGACTTGCTTTTTTATATATTTCTCCATATTTTATTATAATGGGAATCGTTCTGAGCGGAGCAAAAATGCTGTGTACTTGTAATCCTAGCACTCATGAAGCTGACAAAGGATCGTGATTTGTGCCAGCCTAGATTGCATGGTGAGTTCCAGGTCAGTCTGTGCTACACAGCAAGCCCTTGTATCAATAAACAAACAAACAAAACCCCACAATTTTGATGCATTCATGTAATTTGTTTTGCACAGCTCTAAATGTTTTCCTCAGAAATAAAATTAGATTTATTGTTGGATTCATGAGAAACAATACTTGGAAATGGCCAGGTGGAAAGATCCCGAAAAATATGCAAAATACTCAAATGTTTTGATGAAAGATTAATTGTGTTATTTGAACCTCACTGGGTTCTGTACACAGACCTTTTGGTAGCAGTTGGGGGATTTCTACCCACACTGCTGGAGCTTGGTTCACATGAACCAGGTTGGACTCTCATTTGGCAGAGCTTCCAAGATCATTATTACTAAGTTCCATCAGTGACCATATTGTAAATGCCTGTCTAATATAATATCTGACTAACATAATTGAGAAAGCTGATCTTAGAGCATAAACCTGTTCTGTCACTCAAGTTCACAGGGAAGGAGGCCCCTAGAAGAAAGGATTAAACCAATTCAAAGACTTACTACCTCAAACCAGGACAGGAACAAAAACAAACCAAAGGTTTCTATTTTTCATTCTCACCATTTTTTAAATATTAGCATCACCAGATGAATGAAAGAATCTTAGGATAAGGATATTGATGTTGTTTTAGAATGTCTCAATTACCTTTAAAGCATATTGAGGGGATGTTCTCAGGGGAGTTTTGCTGGAATGAACAGCCTTGATTTGAAAGACATTCCTCCAGAGACCTCCAGTTAGGTGGATCCTGATCTCTGTCCTCTCTGGCCAGCCAAATTGGTCTTCTGATTTAACATGTGAAAAAAACTTCTTATGGCTGATATCCTAGTATGCTCTTTTGAGGGTGAAACTCAAGCAAAAATGTCTCAGGTCATAGAGTAAATCCTACGCCCTGTCCAACAAAGTCAGCTCTCTAGCTATATTTAGGCTGCTTAACTTCATTTGTGTGTTTTTGTTTTTGTTTTAGTGCTAAGCCACGTTGGAAAGACCTTGCTATGTTTTCCATCCCTTTCTTTTGTCTGTCTCTCACACTTTCTATTTCATGAGTTGCTAGCAGTATTCAAACATATAACCAAGCTATTCTCAGTATCATTCCCCACTTTATATACTGTGACTTATTGTTTGACTCTGAAATGATGCTCTCCTCTGCCAGTCTCTTCTGGTCAGCATATAGGATCTTTAGAAAGAGGATGAGACTACACTCCTTCACATAGGGCCCCTTTAATGGGAGTGGAGATCTAGTCTCCCTTTCTCCCTCCATGTATTGATAGATACCATCTTTCTTTACTCCCATTAGCTCTAAAGATCCTAGTGGTTCCAAATGATTTAGTTACGTGTGTTTATCACATTGGACTCCATTGTATTATCCTATACATGTCCAGTTTTGGTAAATATTCATTTTATTAGCAATTTTAGTTTTTTGCATATTTTGTGTAATTTTTATTTCAGTGTAATCTATTGTACAAACATGAAATAAGTAAAAAAAAACAAAGCAAAGCAAAACAAAACACTCAAAGCAGTGCATGAATTGAGAAAACAACATGAATATTATCTGGCCTTCTAAAATTCTCACCTGGGAGCAATGCATTGGGTAGTGCCATTGTTAATAAGAGACAATGTTTTAAAGAGGGCTCCAGATGTTTATATTTTGAATGCCTTCTTGGCTACCTGACATATGCTTCTTTCATTGCACAATGATGAGCATTAAACATATTTTATATAGCAACTTACATAAGACAATTCAAAGAGAGTGTAAATAATATTTAGTGTGGAAGGTCTGCTTTTATTTACCTAATGCTTTGTCCAGTTATTGAGAAAGTTTTGTGTACACTTAAGATTAACAGATTCTAAAACATATTTAGGGCCTAGAGAGATTGCTCAGAAGTTGAGATTCAGCTATACTTCTCCTGCAGAGGACCTGAGGTCAGTTCCCACGCACCAATTCACAGTTCACAGTTACCTATAACTCCAGTTCCATCAGATACAATGGACTCTTCTGGTCTCTGTAAGAACTATTCCCACAGTTGCAAATACCCCTACACAGATATGTATGCACACACATAATTAAAAATAAATCTTTCAAAAAGAATATAAAACATGCTTATTTGTCCTGACAATTATGGGTTATGGTTTAGTGTTTTTCAATTTTTATTGATAAGGAAGAGAATCAAATTTCCCTTGGTCTTGTTTAACTTTAGACTATACATAAAATCTTCTAATATTTTTGTTCCTTTAAATAGTTAGAGAAATGTGCTAGTTTATAAGATAAGGTATTGTGTTATAACCAAGAGAGTATTTT